CATTCTTAAGATTTAGAGGGTTCAAAAGGATAAATTAAAATGACTGACTTTGACGAAGGTAAAAATACCTAAACCATTAAGATTTTTTGTAACCATTAAGAGAAAATAATAACTTAACGCGAATTTATGATGATCTGCACGTTTCATTTCTTACTTTCTACACGTGTTCGCCAAGTGTTGGAAAATTTGTTTTAACCCATTTTATGTACAAACGGAATGTGTTACACACAATTGTGAGCAAATTGTAGAATATTTTTTTAGTAAAATTAACATTTATAATATGTTAACATGTATTTTAATCATTCATTTTAGAATTTACATTTTAAAATACATTTTTACGTTGTTTATTCATTTACTCGTAAATTATATTATTATTTTAACCCTAAAAAATATTGAATATCAGTTTAACGAAATTCGTATGTTAGATTAACATACGAATATATTAAAAACTCAACACAAAAACAAGGACCAATTTTAATACCAGATATTTTCTACTGCAAATCTCTCTCAATATCTACGAGTACAATATTTTACGATTATTATATTTGTCATTAGTTTGTATTAATTATTATCAAAACGAACGAGTTCACTTTTTTAACAACGAAGAATCGATTTGCAATAGAAATTTATCACCAGCACTTTCGCTTGCCATTTATCATCACATTATGTAAATATGGGAGATTATTACCGATAAAATAAATTATGTCAGCGGAGCGATTTTGACGAAAATTACTTGAAAACATTCGACTAAAGAAATATTTCCCGCGAAATTGTGTAGAAGTAATTTACCGCACGTGCACCACGTTTAAGAGAGCCCGTCGCCTCGCACAATGAATAGTAACGAGAAAGGATTTCGCTTTCGCGCTGCGAAGAGACGTGCGCTTCGCGCGTCGCGAAAATCGATGTGCGTCGCAAGAGGAACGTAATCGCGAAACCAAAGGTCTCGGTTCCCGAACGTCGGTCGGATATGAATGAACGCGAGCGCGGCACGAGACGGCCGGCCCGTTCGTGCGGGTAGAAGGAGATCGATCGGGGGGGGCCGTTCGGGATTCTGGTTTTCGAGTGCGTCTATGCCGGAACATACAATGAGCTTTCTCATGTCGCACGGTAGATGCGCCGCATCGCCGATGCACACATTCGCGCACGTATATACGCGACCTCGATATACACGCGAGTACTTGATAGGGACAGATAGCTCTTGTGTATGTGTGCGTGCGGCGCGCGCTATTGCAAGCGTATACGTACACGCGGAAGTCTAGGAAAGCCCGGTGCTACAAAGGCAGTGCGCCATCGAGTATCGCAAACATTGATTTGAATCACAAAGACCGCCCGCGGTATCCTATTGTCGGACTCCGACTTATTGTATGTTCTCTCTCTCTTTCTCTCTCTCTCTCTTTCTCTATTTCTCCTTTACCTTCAGCTTTCTACGTGTATCGCCCGATCCGCTCTATCTTCTTTCAACGGTAACGACCTATCAATCCACTTATTCCGCACGGTTTATGTGCCACTTGTGGCATTTCGGCCTAATGCCGCTGTTGCGCGAGCAAATCATACGCGCGAGAGGCGTACTCGTTAATATTCGTGCATGTATACCACTTTTGATCAGATATCGTTTTAATTCGTAGCTTATTACGTTAAAATATCATATAACGGAGTTTTTGCAATGATTGCATAAGTTCCTTATAACAGTGCTGTAAGCCAATTTCATTTTATCTTGAATTGTCAGGCAGTAAAATCTAGCATTCACTAAAAATTAAAATCTCGGAAAATTCCGAGGAGGTGTTACAAAGCGAGTATTATGACCTTATTCATTTCCAAAATGCAGAGACGGTATAATAAAAATAAAAAATAAAGGAAAGGTCATAAAGTGAAAATAAAGCAGCAAAAAATTATGTGAGTTTGACTTTTTTAATTTTATGACCCTACACGTGTCACACATTTGTGTGTGTAAAGAGAAAAGGTACTTTCAAAAAAGTAACAAGTAATAAGTAAATCTGTTTCTTATATGTATATATATATATATTTTACTATTTAATCTGGTTGGCATCACCAGATTTCTGTGTAAATCAACTATACTGTTTTTTCCGTGTACGAGCGAACAAAAAATGTCCCTTTTTTAGGACATAAATCATGACTTTCGTATGGCATGATTAGATAGCAGGTAGAAACCACAGAGGCAGGTAAGCTATCAATAAACAAATGGAAGAAAAAATACGGTTTGCTTTTATATAATGTATAAACATATATATATATATTTTCTTCCACTTGTTTATTCATAGCGTATCTGTCTCTCTGCTTTCTACCTGCTATCTAATCATGCCATACGATCCATAAATCATGAACTAAAGTCATTTTAAGCCCCAAAAAAAGTTTTGTTTGCTCGTACACGGAAAAAACAGTATAGTTGGTCTATACAGAAATCGGGTGATGCCAACCAGATTAAATAGTAAAATATGGAGCAATTATTTATGTGATTGCTTGAACCATAGTTAGGATAGGTTATGGTGCAGCAATGACGGCATTGCACATATACATATTTTTAATTATAAGCGTGGTGAGTCGCTTTTGCTTTTTGGAATTGCAACTTAATTTATAGTATGATGTAACAAGAAATTAATTCTTATTAATAATTTAATTCTTATTACATCACGCTTTATAATGTCACGATTGACGCAACTATACGAATATATAACTTATCCATAATAAATGATTCTCCAACCAAGTTTTGATTGTCACAACCAGACGTACCTAACTACATTGATGTAGTTGACGCATCAAAGAATAAATCATATCAACCATACACATTCCTGTTACATAAAGATAACTAGGATGATGTTTCTATATTGCTCACAACTAAATATTTTTAGTTATGCGAACTACATCTTTTTTTCTGTGTAAGAAAACAGTTTTTATTAATTATAGATGTACTTAACTTTCAATAAAAATGCACAAACCTATAAATACAGTGTAAGCAAAATGCTTATTTTAATTAAATTGATATTTTTTTTGCATTAGAATCCTATTAAAATTATCAAATTTCCACGAAATATTTACGGTGACGATAATTTACTTATAATCAATATCGTTTATATATCAACTCATTGTTAATTGCTTTTATCTGCGATTATGCGGTATATATAATATAAGATATAAGCATAATTTGGACCAGTATAATCAAATTTTTCAGATGTTACGTTATAGGTAGTTAAATATCTACGTTTTATATTCATAAAGCATTTTTATTCTTATTATTATTTCGATCTGATATCGCTGCGATAAAAGATTATCAAGATATCGGATAAACTATAATCGCGATCAATACAAGTTATAATTGCACTAAAGATTGACGTTCTCAAGGACGAATTGCGAAATAATGTCATCGCAATCACGATGATCGCGCATCAGGATCGAGATCACTCTAGATTATTTTGCAAAATTGATGTAATTGCAGTAATCAAAATGTAGATAAACAATTATTCGATGAGAATGTAATTGCGATAATCATCTTTTGAAATGAGGAAAAATGTATGCTACGCTTAAAAAAGGGTATTAATAGTTTTTGAGCACGTTTATACGTGCCGCATTGATTTTGGAGTTATCACGATATCTTTTACTGATATCGTCGATGAAGCACAAAATATAGTTTTACGCGTTTATTTACCACGCATACTTCCGCTACAAACCAATTCGTTTCGCATCTCTTCTCCTTTTCTTCGCGTCTCGCGGCAACAGGTCCCACAACATACAGCATGCTGAAACGAAGACACGACGTCCAATGAAAGCTCTACGATAACGATTTTAGTGAGCTTCTTGGTGGATTCTACCGCCCGACGGGAAAAGACAGGAAGGAGGAAAGAGCGAGATCTTTATTTCGAGCTTCAAATCTTCTTGAATATATCGAGCAGTAATAAGAAGCAGTGAAATAAAATAATCTAGTATTGATTGTTCGATTCGAAAGAGAGATTATTATATTATGAGAGTAAAGAAAATCAAGAGGAAAGGCAAATACTTAATTTTCAGTGAGATAAAAGAAAACTGATAAGATACGATAAGTGACGCGGTGCACACATGATGTGAATTGCAAGAAATATGTCAATCTTCAATTGCTCAGTTTATCGGCTAACTTGTAAGGAAGACCGTGAGAACATCTTTCATAGGACAAAAAATAAGTCATTCCTAGTCTTATTCCTCATACAAGTATCGCACTAGCTGCGCTCTTAAAAACAGTGCTACAAAATGTCACGTTGTATCTTCTACTTCTACATATATATCCATCATATTATCTCTCTATGAGATTCTTAAATGTGTATTTGACTTATTCGTGCATTAACGTTGATGGATACGTAATACATCACGCAGCTCCAGGTCGTGTGCAAAGGAACATATTAAGGCTCGCGGACACACGTATGCACCAGCGCTGCTCAACGCTGCAAACGGCGCGGCGGCCGCGTAGCGGTACATGCGTCCGACGGGTAGCCGATTTCGCGGCGCGAAAAAGCAAGTAGAAATGTTGCACACAGTGGTGGAGAGCGAGAGGGACGGACGAGAGGAAAGGATGCCGATAACGTTGGGTAGGAACGAGAAGCGAAGGGAGGGAACGAGACGTCGGACCGAAGCGTCGCCGCGAGAGGTCGGTCATGTTCACTAAGTGACGTCACGAGGCTGTGGCGCCGCCTCCGAGGCTAGCGAGCCGGCCGATTGGTTGAGAGAAATGATGGCAGGCGCGCTTGCCAATCGATTGCCTACGGTGCGTAGTACGGAGCGCAGTACATCGGTCGGATATGGTCCCCACTATACCGCAAGGTGGAATACGAGAAGAGGGGCGCTCAACGCTGGAAGAAGGGAGACTGCCGCCTTCTCGGGCAGGAAATGAGCTCCAACCCCGAGATATGTAATAGCTCAGACAGTTTCGGTCTCTTGTAGAGAGTGGAAGTTCTATCACTTCTGCAACGGATCGTTCGTTGTAATTGTCCAGCATAGTGGATGCGGAGAAAGGAGCAATAGAAAATACAAGCGCTTCGCTGCTTTTAGTCGTGCTGTGGTTTAAACACGTCGCACCGGATTAGCTGACGGAAGTGCATACGTGGGTGAAAATCAAATAATTCTCGAAGACAAAAGACGGTGTCCGTGAACTTGACCAGTCGCTGGTTTTCACGTTGATGGTTTGTCTTTTCGCATTTCTTGTGTCGCACGCGTTTAGGAGGTGCCATCGTCACTTTTCAAAGGAGACCGCCGCTTCGGAGCATTCACGTTTAGTTGGCGCGTCGTTGCCGCATTGTCGTGACGCGATTCGTCGACCGTACTGTGGCTCGCAGCCAGTCAGAATAGCTGGCGAATGGCACGGAGTGGTGAGAGACTAGCAGTGAGGGGAAGAAAGTGAGTAGCCAGGGCCAGTTCTCTTAGAGACACTCTGAACTGCGGATCGCTTTAAGTGTTTCTCCGGATTTTCGGAAGAATAAGAAGAGAAAAACGAATGAGCATACGCATTGCGAAACAATGTACGGAGGACTATATCGATGGTATGTCGATCGCGAGTGATGCTTCTCGTCGAGACCGTGTCCGCATGGAGTTTGTCTCGTGAACGATACTCGTAATTAAATTTGGACACTGCGCACGAAGATTTATTGGTGATATCAGGATCATCACAGCACGGAATGGTTGTTCGAGGCTGCCACATCATTCAACCGATACGCTCACGCGATCGTGTGATCGATTGATCATACGCTGACTACGGTGACTAGGAAAAAACGTGCGCGAACGCTTGGCGATCCATTCTTACGGAGTGTCTTAATAGTGATTATTATCAGTGACTTAGAGAGTTCGCGATTGACTTTCATGTCATCGCTTCGTGGACGGAGGTGAACTTAAATAAAAGACCGGTGGTGATTTGGACGACGGGTTTATTCACCGGTGTGATCGATTGACATTTTCGGCGTGCCCCGTTGATTTTCTTGACGTCGAACGGTATCAGAAAAGGGCAGCAAACTGTACGGGCACAGGCAAGAAGAGATGCACACGATGGAGACGGACATGAAGGGCGGCAGTCTGCATGCTCAGATGCCACCGCATCCACACCAGGGTGTATCGCCGATGGGCCATCATACAGGGATGTCTCCTTATGGATCTTTAGGCTCGATAGTTCACAGCTCTGCACTGTCGGGAAGTCCACCCAGCGCGGGTGGCTTGGGTCTTGGTCTTCAACATCATCACCAAACTTCTCAACATCATTACGCAATGTCAGCTGCCGCCGTCGCCGCCGCAGCCGTACAACAACAGCAACAACAACAGCAGCAACAAAGCATGCACGCAATGGCGGTTCAACAGAGCGCTCAGCAACAGCAACATCACGCTCATCAGCAGTCACAACAGCAACAATCGCAGTCGCAGCAGCATCATCAGGCTAATAATCACAGCAATCCAAATAATCCCAACAACCCCAACAATTCTTCTAACGCCAAGAATAATAACATGGATCGCGTAAAGAGGCCGATGAATGCCTTCATGGTATGGTCGCGTGGGCAACGGCGCAAGATGGCTCAAGAAAATCCTAAAATGCATAATTCCGAAATATCGAAACGCCTTGGTGCTGAATGGAAACTTCTCAGCGAAGGGGACAAGCGTCCGTTCATCGACGAGGCGAAACGGCTGCGCGCTGTTCATATGAAAGAGCATCCTGATTACAAGTATCGGCCGCGCCGCAAGACAAAGACGCTCATAAAGAAAGACAAGTTCCAACTCGGCGGAGCAGTTGCTGGAGTCGGCGGAATGCTCGGCGTGGATCAACGGCAAGTAGGTACCAGCGGAGGACCACAACAACCGCAATTGCCGCGTGATGTATATCAGATGCCCAATGGATACATGCCCAACGGTTACATGATGCCTGATCCGACAACGTATCAACAACACGTCGCGTATAGCAGTCACATGGGTGGTGCCGCAACCGCTGCCTCGGCTGTGGCCTACCCCAGGTACGATTCCATGGGACATCATATCGGTGGCAGCAGTCCCAGCCCTATCAACATGAACGGCTACGGCGGATACGGCGGATACGGTGCTACTGTACCTGGCGGATCACCATCACCTTACCATCAGGCTCAAACGGGTTCTCAGATATCCAGTAGTCATAGTCCTAGTGGCAGCAGCATAAAGTCCGAGCCGACGAGCCCGGCGAGCGGCGGCATACACACGCCGACGCCGACGGGCGGCCCAACACCGACGGGTGCGGCTGGTCCTGCCGGACAGGTCAAGAGAGAATACATGGGGCAGCAAACGAGCCAACAGACATCGCAAGGCGATCTCCGGCAGATGATCTCAATGTATCTGCCGCAAGGCATCGAGCAGGGAGTCGTGCAACACGGTGGAAGCGTCTACCCACCGGGTCCATCACCTGATTCTTTGACGCAGCACCATACCATGCAGCCGATTTCACATATGTAAGTTACTCCAAAAGAAGTAGAGAAACAGAAGCTTCTTTTTCACACATAATACTCTTTCTTGCCTATGTTTGCTTGCGAGTAGCTTTTTAGAATCGTGAAAATGGGATAAACCGTCACGGTTTATAGTCACGCTCGATATAGTTATATCTCGACATCTTATAGTCCTTTAAAATATGCAATAAATGAGACTGTATTTTTTTTAGATACACAGTATTTCTTTCAGAAATTAGACTGCATTTTTTGCTATTATCTATACTTTTCCCAATCAAAATTACATAGAATATCAAATGTCTCTGTTATAATATTATTAGGTACAAATAGACGATCGCAATATTCTTACTATAAACTAAGCATAATATTTACGTTCAAAAGGAAAGAAATGTTTCGGGTCATTGTGAACGGCGAGCTATAGCGTCCCTGACAGATAATTTGAGTTAGTATATATGTCTCAATCTACAATGCTAATCGATGTCAAGTATGACGAACGTAATGCAGTTTATCCCAGTTTGATGATTATTGCACTATTCGCTTGAGTTATAATTAACAAAAATCACTGATGATCTTCGAAAGTTATTTGCAAATCATCGATCGTGAATTTTGCAACTTGAACATTATTGGAGTCTACAGGAGGTTCGCATTTTATAAATCATATTTTATATATATAATATATTTTTTTTAATTTTTCCATTTAATACATTTTTTCAATTTAATTTGTCATTTATTTCAAATAGAAGTCTTCGATTCAACATTAAAACTTTTTGCACTCGTTATTTTATTGTTGTTATAAATTTTATAAAAATTATTTCTCTAATGTAAATTCTTTTATTATGTATTTCTTGGCTTTAAACAGAATTTTTATAACAAGAGAATCCCCTGTACTCCGTACATATAGTAATTCGTGAGTGTCGCATTATGAATGCTCCATTTAAGAATTATTTCCTTCTTATCAAACGAGCGTGCAATAATACCTATATAAATATTATCTATTTCTTTTTTCTAATATCTCATTTTTCTTATACTTACCTATTTCATGACGCGATACTCACGTTTTTCTATTGCTAAAGCAAATGGTAATATTGCATATGCTACCGTGACGACGCTTCTGGACCTTCTATCATCACACACCAATTAACTACTAAAACAGTGATCTACGATTCGCTTCTTATATCTGAAATTTGCGACCAGTTGCTTATTCGCGCACGATTATTACTATTTCAAGAGTTAGCAAGGTGGAACTTGCAAGATATCATTACTCTAGAAAATTATAGACCAGCGTGTTGAGTCGGGAGGGAAGAAAGAATGAAACACGTCGATTTACTTCGTACCAAGGTGCAAAAATCTTACACGCTTGATAAAACATTATCAATACGAATTTTACTAGAATAAGTAAACATTTGAATAACTATCACCGTTAAGACGAATAAAATAGAATTTATCTGTATTTAGGCGCATGTAAAATCTTATACATTAAATTTTTCTTAGCTGGAATATATTTATCGAAACGTGATTCATATTTATTTATTTATGCAAACGTTTAAATATACGAGTTTTAATTGTCACCCTTTGAACACCTCTTATGCAGCACTTGCTCGTATAATTAAAAAAATTCTTCGTCTAATAATAAATAGAAGGTATATATTTGAGGTTTATAAAGGTTTATAAGTGGTTTATAGTGGGTTTATAATACAAAGGATTCAAACAATTCTATGTCTGCATTTAATCGGAATTTTAAGACTTAATACCCGTTTTCACCAACATAGATTAACTTTAATCCTGTTCTAATTCTTAGAACTAAAAAAAGATGAAGAACAAGTTAAACCGAAATTAAAATTAATCTACATCGAAATTATACAGTTTAAGGGTTATTTCTATGTCTTGATAAATTACAAATGCCAATGTCTCGTAAACATTGCAGTTACTTCATTAAGGCAAGAAGTAACCTAATACTGTTAATCTAATTGATAGAAACGGTAGAAATTGGTAGAAATCATTAATAGATCCAACATTCTTCGTTTGTCTTCGTTTATTTACACATCACATATTCATCATATACGAAATCAGTTCATCAATTGTGTGTATTTTTCTTATAACTCTCTTTTTTAGATGTAAATTATTTGATTAAATTTTAACCTTATTTATTAAATATAAAATACAGAATATATTCAAATGTGTTCGCAAAAATTTTTAATTATTTCAATTATGTGTGTATATATAGTTTTATAACTATTACATCATTTTATCTTATTTATTTCTATTGATTTTCATTGTTAATTATTATTAATTATGCTATTTTTTGTATCTATTCTTTACATTATTATGTAGATACATGAAGAATACATAGAAATTTTAAAGCCTGGATATCGAATTATTTTTGACGTAGGGTCCAGAAGCAGAGTTCACGATACTGTATGTTTAATTTGAAACTTATAAATTTATTTACCTTCCTAAATTTATTTTTTTCTCTTTGTTATTTTTTTTTTTCAGATCAAGTTTTCTTTTACTAGATGATTCTTATGAATACAATCTTTAATTTGTTAAAATCAATTTTGCGTTTAATTAAGGACAGGAGTTGAAGTTTCATTGCAGTACATTGAAAAAAATCTATGTAATTTCACATGGAAATTACATGTTTATGACTGGAAAATTATTTAAATTACATAAATATGATTGAAAATTTACTGGAAATTATAAATTTCCGATCATATTTAGGTAACTTTCCGGTTATGTAATTTCCATGTAAAATTTTTTTCAGTGTATGATATAGGTTGAGTCAAAAAACGAACTTATTATTTAGAAAAAAATTATCATTTAAAAGAATTATTATAATATTATAATATTGGATTGAGTAAAAAGTAATTTCGTATTTTGCGGGCAGATGTAATGTAATGTAAAAATACGAACTTACTTTTTCACTCAACTCAATATTTAGCGAAATAGATTTTTTCTCGAGTGTTATTTTGGCTTACATGACTTTTTTTAGTTGATTCTTACGTTTTTTAAATAATTATCATGACAATTCCACCAGGGTTGGCAAAAATCCAGATTTTTTTTAGGAAAACCCAAATTTTTGGGATTTTTGTATTTTTATAAACTGGGTTTTTCTGGGCCAACCCTGAATTCTACACTAACTCACACTTAGATACCATTTCATTCTATCACAATCATGGAATAATCACGAAAATTTCGTCTGACTCATCCTATCTCTCTGTTGATGAACATCGGTCGATTGTTAACGTTAGAAATTTAACAATTCACCGCCCTATGATCCATATACCTAACGCATGCATGATTCGTAGGAATCTCGTAGCTTAAAGAGAAGCAAACATGGATGGACATCTGTGCAAATGGAAGCCCCGTAGAAAGTAACGGAGCGAGGAAAAAAATGGAAAAAAAAAGAAAAAGCGCGCGAAAGATGGAATGCGAAATAAAGAGAAACGCATAACTAGCGCGAGAGAAAGAGAGAGGGAGGGAGGGTGGAAAAGGGGAGGAGGGAGAGAGAAATAGAAAATAGATGCAGGAAGAAAAAAATGACAAAATATAATTTCAAGACAATTTTCACGGAAAAGACGGAATATAGTCTATGAACAAATATAACCTTATTCCGTATTACAACTTGTCAATAGAGAAAATCTTATCAGAATAAGATTTTATATATATATTTTTAGATCAATTTGAAATTTAACTAAGACACGCGTAAAGGAAACTTAAAATTTTTACCGAATGTAGAACGATTTTTTAACGAAGGACATGTTTACACTGGGGATCATGTGATGATATACGTAATATAAAACCAGTGAAGATATGTACGATGTAAAGAAAGATCTTAGTTAAATTTTAAATTTTGATCTAAAAAGATATATATATATATACACATATATCAAACATATATATTTTCCGTCTTATGTGTATCTGTGTATGTATACGTACATATATGTACACACACACATATTTTTTGTCTTTTCCGAGAAAATTTTTTTAAAGTTATGTTATGTCTTTTCTTCCTCCGCTATTATCTCTATCTCTCCCTCGTCCTCTGTCTTTTTCTCTTTCGCTACATTATACCTTTCTCTTTATTTATTTCGAAATATTAAGAATAACATTGTACTTTTTTTTACATAATAGTTATCTTCAATGGTTTTATATAAATTACGTATATTGTTATATGATCTCCGGTATAAACATTCTTTGTTACGAAAAAATTGTTCCACATCCGGTAAAAATTTAAAGTTTTTTTTACGCATGCTTAATTAAATTTTAAGTCTTAGATTGATCTAAAAGAAAGAAACATTGGATCTCAATACAAAACTGACTTATGGTATAAGTTAAGTTTTTTATGCATTATTTAGGCCTGTTTAATTTTAGCCAAAACGCAAAGCTACCTATGCAAAAAAATTCAATGTGAGTGAGATTTGATGGACTGTGAAGTGTTGATAAGCGTCGCTCAGACGCGTATCAAAACTTTATAGTCTCCGAAATCTTGCCCATATTGATTTTTTTGCATCGGTGGCTTTGCGTTTTAATTCCGGAGCTCAAATTGGACAGGCCTGTCTGATTCCTACGAATCTAAGTAAGTATGTTTGGAAATCCCAACCGCTACATATATACAAATTATCAAATCCCGTTATTAATTTTCAGATGTATTCAAAGTATATGTATTCCTTTTATTTATAAACGAAGATGATAAAGATATTATTTGGATTAGAAGAAATACGATATAATGATGATGATATGATTTGATTGAAGAGAGAATAATAAGAATAACTAAAAAATCACGTTCCTCTTATAATTAATAATAATAACAACGAACATTATAATGGAGAACGCATAATATCGTAATCATAACAATACAATATAAATTAATGTCTAGATGATACAGTAGTGAAAACTATAAATAGTTGATGTTTTAAATGCTCGAAAAATGAATTATATAAGAAAAGAATCTCGTTCGCGTTTGTTCTGAAAATGGAGTTGATTCGAATATATTCTTTTACATTCTA